GTGCTTATGGGGCTTGTTTGGAGTGGAGAATGTGAACCAAATGAAGAAATGGAGTTAAAATGATCAAAAATGGTGAAAATGGGCATTACGGAGCTTCTCGGAAAAAAGGCTGTACTGCTGGTCGGAGATTCTCGGCTAAAATCCATACCGCGGGTAGGTTTCTCGGCCAAAACTCTCGGGTGCAGATACATCTCCAAAATCCCGTTACCGGAAGATCTTTCCAGCCGATTTAGCTTCCAGGATCTTCAGAAACGATCATGATAATTGAGTCTAGATTCCAGAACAGTTGAAATCAAGGCATTTGGAGCACTGAGCCGAAAGATATGGCCACCGGAAGACGAACATTTCTCACACTCATTCTGGAGAAACCCGATATGCCTCAGACGTTGTTACTGGAAAGTCTTACCCTCCGATTATGGGGTCTTCATAGAAGTTTGAGAGAATTGAGTCTAGTTTCCATACCGCTTAGAATCATGAGATTTGGAGTCGTGAGCTATATATTGCAACTGGAAGGAATACATGTCTAGAAGCCGATTTGGAGCCGTGCAATGCACGTCAAAGATTAACCCTCCAGGAATCCTTCCATTGCTCTGAAGCACTTGCACTCTTCATCAACATTCTAGATAATTGAGCTGCCTTACCACTGGAGTTTGAATTAAGCTATTTAGACCAGTATTGCAGGAGTTATGATACATCAAACACGGAGTGGTCCGAGAAAATGAGAAATGATGCGACTTGGGTGTGCGACTTGATTAACTCGCACCCATGAATGTTCATGCTCTGGAAACAAGTTGCGACTTTAGAGATGAGTGTAAGGAGACTCTGAGCAAGGTAGAAACTTCCAGAATCAAATTTGACTAAGTCCACAATGCTGGACATGAAATAGAACCATCTAGCACATGTGTTCGCAATTTAGACCGACTTGGATGTGCGACCTGAGCAGGGACGTGACCATCTCGCACATATACATTCTGGAGTGTGCGACCTGGGCTTGCGAGTGGGGAAGGAGCTGAACTGAGCCGCACAAGAACATGCAAGATGAAGTGCTAGATGGATGTGCGGCTGAGAAAGGAGTTGACCATCTAGGAGTCTTGAGCGTCTTTTGGTGCGAGATGGGTGTGTGGGTCAGCCATGGACGTGACCATCTCGCACACCACCCACCAGACCCATCTGAGCCGAGTCAGTACCCAGTTTTTCCTAGGCTGACCCGGTCCAAGACCCTTAGTATAAATAGTTTTTGGGACAAAAAACCCTAGACATCATACCTTTTATCTTTTCATTCTATCTTAATTTTCTTTCCTTTTCAGTGTTAAAACGAGTTTCATCAAGAGATATCTGAGGGATTTAATCATCTTAAAGCTGTTTCTTATCATCTCTTCATCTCATCTTTGCTTCTAATTATGTTTAACACCATCTCTTGCAAAATATTAGGTGTGTTAAGCATGATTAGTGAGTAGTCTTCTTTTAAGCTTCTAGGTGTGTAGATAGGGTGCTTAGATGTAGATTAATGATTGTTTAAGTTTAGATTATCTTCTCCTTTCCTTAGTTAGTTGATCCTAATGCTAGATCCTTGCACATCATTGGGGTCTAGAATCAGGGTCTTTCATGCACCAAAAGTGTTTGATGAAATGCCTGAATGAAAGCTAAGTAAGGATTTATGCATTAATTCTATAATGATGTTTGTTAATTGCATAAATGACATATTAGAGTTAATTCTAAATGCTTACTAGTTCATATTTCACAAATGGGAATTTGTTTTGAAAGTGGATTAGTATAGAGATTAATACCTTCATGAGAGGATTAGTCTAGCTTTAAATTTTAAGTTAATTGGATTAGAGATCATGTGATTGCTTGCTATGTCTTTCTTTGTAAGATTCAGTCTTTCTTAGCGCTTATTTTGATGCACAAAGAGGCTGTCTGGTCATTTTAGACTTGGAACTTTATGCTTGTTGATTGCTTATTCATCTAATGGGAATTAATCTTGATTTGGTAATTAACAAAGGGATTTTTGTCATGAGAATGAATTAATCTGATTTGGAAGTCTAGACTAAAGAATTGCAAGTGTTGCATTGTTTGCTTAGCATCATGAATTCACATTTAAAGCACCCTGATCAATGATCACATCCAGAGGTTTAGCTTTCTCTTATTTTGAATTTGAGTCTTTGTTTTGTTTGTCTTGTTTGCTGTTTAATTCTTAATTACTGCTTGTTCTTGTTTGTTTTATGTTTTTAGATCACTTAATTACCAACCTGTTTCATTAGACTTGGATTAAGAATTGATCCTCATAGTCTTAGTGCCTAGATAATCTCCATTTGGATTGACCCTCAAGTGCTACAACATAAGAGGTTAATTGACCTTAGTAGGCTAAAAAAACCTACTATCAATTCAGTTTCCGGGGTCTTCATCAATATTCAAAAGCTTCGAGTCTTCTTTACGGGATGCATGATATCACATGATTTAGAGTATTGAGCTGGGAGATAGCATTTCCGGAGTGAACACGGATTCTGAGGCCTCTTTTCGGAGCATTCTAGTGATTTTCAAAGATCGACCGTCCAGGAGACTTTCCTTTCCCTGGATGCAGATGGTCCCTTCATATAAGTTGAATCTGAGTGAGCTGTATTTCACATGGAGCTGGAAGATTGGGATTCCGAGTACTGAGTAGAAAGTACCAACGGTTTAAGTGTTGAGAGGTTGTCAGCACCAAGATGAACACCGGGAATATTGACATCGGTGTGGACTTACTTTGAGGATCTTTTTATACTGAACCTGACACCGAGGTCCGCACCAAGATAATGCACCCCGCTGCTAGTTTGGGCCTTGCACCAACCCTCTTCACTGTCCACACCGACCAAACCCACTCCGATGCTTTACCTGGTGTAATCTTCACTCGTTTTCTACACCTGGGGCAACACCGGCCAAAAGCATCCATGTGCAATCTTCTGCAGAAATAACAAGTCCCCACATCAAGTAGCGTCATCCAGATGTGCTCTCTGGTGTGAATCCCACAGAAGTTCTGCTCATTTTACACCGGCTTCCACACCGGCTAGACATCCCGGTGCCAGCCCCATCGTCCAAGTTTTCTCCCCAACACCGAGATCAACACCGGCCATTTGCATCCCGGTGTCAGCACACACGCCCAAGACAAGCTTCAGGACATTTTACACCAGCCAGAACATCGGACAAATGCATCTCGGTTGAGGTGCTTCAGCGTTTTTAAGAGTTTTCTTTCTGGGTCAATACCCAGTTTGTCCTGGGTTGACCCGGAAATTAGGAGACAACTATAAATACTTTTTAGGGTTTTACCCTTAGGATTATCTCATATTTCCTTAAGATTTTTGTCTCTTTTGTGAAAGAACACACTTTGAGAGAGATATCTCCATTTTCTTCTTGAATTAACAGAGTTTAAAAGCTTTAATCACCATTTCATCATCATCTATCCATCTTTTATCATTTCTCATCAACTAATCATGCTTGTCTACCCATCTTGCAATGGATCAAGGGAGATAATCATGATTAGTAAGTAGTCACCTCACTAGAGTTCTAGATATGTAGGTTAGGGTGCTCTAGGGGTTTGATTAAGTTAGCTTAGGACTAGATTCATGCATCTTTGCTCTTGTCTAGCTAATCTTAATGCTGGGTTTCTGAGAATTACTTAATCCCAGATTCAAGACATTTCATGCACCAAAAGTGTTTGATGAAATGTCTGAACAAAGCTAGTTTAAGAGTCTAATGTTTAATTTACATGGGAATGTTCTATTGAGCTTAGATGGTATACCATGATTGGTTTTTAATGCATCTTTCATTTGTTTCACTAATAATGATTGGGTATGAAATAATGTTTGAGATTGTGTTTTGATGCCTGAGAAAGATTGAAACTTGTGTTGAATCATGAGCTGCCTAGATCATTTATTATAATTGTTCATTAGCTACTTAGTTATATCCTGAAAGCACCCTAGCCATATATCATATCTAGAGCTCTATACTTCATCATATCATATTCATCATCTTGTTTAGTCTTGTTTTAGTTTACTTGTTTAGCTTTGTTACTTGTTTGAACACCAAAATCTGTCTACTTTGCTTGAATTACGTAAAAGCTTACATGAACTAGTGTCTGAACTCATCTGATATGGATTGGTACTCTTTGTGCTACTTTGACAAGGGGATTGATAACCCTAAGAGTTGAAAACTCTTACTTATCAATTGGCGCCGGTGCCATTTGGTAGTTTAGTTTACCAGTAGTTAGTGAGTTTCACTTGAGATCAAGCCTGTTTTACCTTTTGTTTTTCTGATTAAACCTAAAAGTGCTGAAGTTTTAAGTTTATGTCACATAGACCAAGGACTAGAAGCAGGAGTTATGACGCAGCTGAACCTTTTATTGACAACATACACCTGCTGGATAGAAGAGGCAGAAGAGAAAGGGACAGAGCTGGATATGGCACAGAATGTAGAACAAGCCGAGCATCAGGCTCAAGTGAATGTGGCACAGGCTGAGAGGAATGAGCAACAAGCATTTGTGAATCAGAACATGGCACAGAGAAATGAACGCCAAGCTCATCTGAACCAGCAGCAAGTGGCTAGGAATGAGAACCAAGTTCACAACATTCCTCAGCACCAACCAAAATCTCCAAGGCGTCAAGAGCCTCCTCAAGTGTTTGTGGGAGAGAATGACCGAGCCAATGCACACCAATACAGGGAAGGCATTCAAGCTCCTCCAGGTTCAGAATAATAACTTTGAGGTGAAGGCTTCTTTGCTCAACATGGTTCAGAACTCTAAGTTCCATGGCCTGCCTATAGAGGATCCACTAGAGCATTTGGATCAGTTTGATAGAGAGTGTGATCTGACCAAGATAAATGGAGTTTCAGAGGACATTTTCAAGCTAAGGTTGTTTCCTTATAGTTTGGGAGATAAAGCACATCAATGGGAGAAGAACCTACCTAGAGGATCCATTCAGATTTGGGAGCAGTGCAAACTTGCATTCTTATCTACCTCGATGACTGCCAAGGTGAGAAACCATCAAGGTTTACCCAGTACAACAATGAAAGCTTTGGGGAAGCTTGGGAGATGTTTATGAGTTACACCAACCAATGTCCACATCATGGGTTTTCAGAGGCTTCACTCATGAGTACACTATATAGAGGAGCACTCCCAAAGATCAGAAACAAGTTAGACACAGCCTCAAATGGGAATTTCTTGGGTAAAGAGATCAATGTTGCATTGGAACTAGTAGAGAATCTAGCCATGAGTAATGATACTTATGGGGAAGACTTTGACAGGGAAAACAAAATTGAGGGATCCAGTAAGGAGCAGAGGATGGAGAAATACATAAGAGAGCTTCAAAGCAAGCTTGACAAAGTGTTAGTGGCAACTTAGAAGCCACTACACTTTCTGGGAGAATTTGATGATCAATCCCCAAGCTTTGAAAATGTCAATGAAGAAAGGCTTTACTCAGGAGGAGATAAACTACATTGGGAATCAGAATAGATATCAGAGGTTCAACAACTTTAACACCAACCAAAACCTCAACTATAGAAAATCTAATGTAGCTAACCTTCAAAATCAAGTTTATCCTCTTCCTAAGGGTCAGCAGAGTTTTGTTCCCAACAACAACTATCAAGGGAACTTTCAACCTAAACAGCAGTTTGCTCAGCAGCAACAAGGCTATGGACAGCAACAACAACGGATTCAGGAGAGAAACTTCACTAGCCAGCCTCAACAACAGAAATATCCACCAGAATTTGGACAGCAGCAGGTGGTTCAGCAGCCGCCGGTTCAGAATCAACAGATGGGGTCTAAGTTGTGTGGAGTGCTATAACAGCTTCTTCAGGGTCAGCAGCGGGTTGAAAGTGGCTTCTCTGATTAGGGTTCAAAGTATGCTGCAATGCAACAAGAGATAAGGGAGCTTAAGCAGAACCAAGCCTCAACATCAAGACAGCAAGGGTCTCTACCTGGAAAACCTGAGCCAAATCCAAAGGAATATGCTCATGCCATAACTTTAAGAAGTGGCAAAGAACTACCAGATATACTGCCATGACTTTAGAAGTAGCATGTTTAGAAAATTTCTTTCTTGTATCCGGGTGGCATGTATGCTTCAAACACGCCTTCCTCACCTCATAGAATGCCGACTCGCCAACTTGACCCCCCAACACTCTCCAATCACATATCTTTGATGGACATTCGGCGACTGTGTACTTCTTCGCATGCTTTTTGAATTCGAACGTCACTATATTCTTCAGCGCATTGATGGCCAACGTGATTTTAAAGTGTTCCTTGTTCCTGAACTTTTTTCCAACCCATATCTCTCCATCTTCATTTGACAAATCAAGTTCATCGAAATCCCCTGCCATTTCATCAGAGACTGGTGCCACATCCAGAAATCCATATAGTTCTGTACATTTAATCGCTTTCTTCAGCTCTGCACCGCCATTCTGACGCCCCCAACTGACATCACCCGTCGGAGTCTGCACAAAATCATCATCATCTCCATGGGGAGCCAGAACATTCTCACATACAGTCCTCTTTCTTCCAGGAAAATGAATAGGACTCTCCGTTAAGACAATGGAGTTGTCCATATGGTTTGAATCACTCGGCTCACTTCCGCGAGTACTTCCACAACCGCCTGAACTACCAGAGTCATCCTTATCCTCATCAAATCCAGGTTTAGAATGGAAACCCTTACCATCTGCTAGTACGTAATCATTCCACCAGTCAAATTGAGGATACTGAGCAAGTTGGTGGGGAGGCAGCTCAAAATAGGGAGCAAGACGAGGAGGTTGTCAAGAGTGACAAAGGCAAAGAGGTGGAACAAGAGATGGTGCCTCAGAAACCCAAAGGAATATGCTCATGCCACCACCATACCAACCTAAACTTTCATTTCCAAGGAGGATTAAGAAGCAGATATTGGAGAAGGCAAAAGTTGTTTTTGAGAAGCAACTAAAGGAGACAAACTTTACAGTTCCTATCATTGTAGCTTTCCTTATGATCTCACAACTTGGGAAGTTTTTAAAAGATGCAATCATGAATGGTCAAAGGAGCTTCAAGGTATGGTTGCCTTAAGCCATGAAGTTAGTGCCATCATCCAAAGAAAGGCTATTCCAAGAAAACTTTCAGATCCAGGAAGTTTTACTCTACCATGTTCCATTGGTCATCTAATGTTTGATGGATGTCTTTGTGATCTTGGAGCTTCTGTGTGTCTCATGCTTTTCTCAGTGGCAAAAAGACTAGGATTTAAGGTCTTTAAACCAGCTAAGATCTCCTTGGTATTGGCTGAAAGATCTGTAAGGTTGCCTATAGGTCTCCTATATGATTTGCCAGTTAAGATAGAAGGTTTTGAGGTGCCTACAGATTTCATAGTGCTGGAGATGGATGAGGAACCAGTGGATCCACTCATTCTAGGAAGAACTTTTCTGGCCACAGCTGGTACCATTATTGATGTTAGAGGTGGTATAATTGAGCTTCATATTGGATAAGACACCTTGAAGTTTGACATCAAAGAAATGATGAAGAAGCCAACCATTGGTGGTCAAGTCTTCTACATAGAGGCCATGGATGAGCTTGCTGATGAGCTTTTGGAGGAGTTGAACCTTGAAGACCCTCTCTAAATAGCTTTAACAAAAGAACATGGTGATATGGCTATCTAGAAGATGAGAATTTGGGGTTTATGAAGCTTCTTGATGCACACAAACCAGAGGGACGCAGTGCATCTTTCAGGGAGTTAGACTACAAGGTTCCAGAAGAAGGTTTTGGAGGCTCAAAAACGCCTAAGTATTAGTAGATTAACAGCACTGGGATGCATCATCCCGATGTGGATCCTGGTGTAGATGATCACCTAAGGAAGGAGGAGCCAACACCGAGCAGGACAACAGCCACTTCAAGCCCGATGTGGGATGTTTCCAATGCAACAAGTCCGGATGAGATTTACACCGAGCTCAGCACCGGCAAGAGGAACCTCGGTGTTGGAAATTTTCACAAGGAAGAGATTACACCGGGCTCAACATCGGACAAAACCTACCCAGTGTACATGCGTGAAGAAAAAGGAGCATAGAAGGTTTCAGCACCGGTCAGACACTTCCAGGTGCACAACTCGGTGTAAATTCAGCAGAAGAGACACAAGGATCAGCACCGGGCAGGACATCGACATTAACAAGCCTGGTGTTGGAGGTTTTTAGCGAGATAAAGGAAGGAAGAACTAACACTGGGGTATATCATCCAGATGTGGAACCCGGTGTAGGTTCGAAAGACAAAGGAAAAGTGGGTCTTCAAAGAGGAATAGGACCTGAACAAGGGGTAGAAGCCGACAACATTCGGACAGAAGCTGATCAAGGGAGCTTCATGGAGAATTGGGATGAGACTAAAGCACCCCCTGTTGAGCTCAAACCTCTACCAACAGGGTTCAGGTATGCATTCTTTGGCTCTATCTCTTATTATCCTGTCATCATTAATGATAGGTTGCTAGATCATCAAGAGAAAGCATTGCTGGATGAGTTGAGAAACTATAGGAGAGCCATTGGGTATCTCATCCAACCATTGCACTCATAGGATTAACCTTGAATAGGAATCTATGTTATCCATTGAACACCAAAGAAGGCTGAATCCTAACTTAAAAGAAGTATTTAAGAAGGAAATTCTAAAACTCCTTGAGGCAGGAAATTCCAAAGAAGGCTGAATCTATGACTCAAGATGGGTTTCACCAGTCCATGTGGTGCCCAAAAAGGGTGGGATGGCAATAATTAGAAATGAAAAGGATGAGCTGATTGCAACTATAACCATAACTGGCCATAGAATCTGTATAGACTATAGGAAGCTAAATGCAGCCTCTAGAAAGGATCACTTTCCTTTACCATTCATTGATCACATGTTAGAGAAGTTAGCTAATCATCCCTTCTATTGTTTTCTTGATGGGTACTATGGGTTCTTTCAGATAGCAATAGACCCCATAGATCAAGAGAAAACATCATTTACCTGTCCATATGGTACATATGCATATAGGAGAATGCCCTTCGGCTTGTGTAATGAATTAGCTACCTTTCAAGGGAGTATGATGCATATTTTCTCTGATGTAATTGAAGAGAAAGTAGAGGTATTCATGGATGATTTTTCAGTCCATGGATCCTCCTTCTCTGTTTGTTTGTCTAATCTTTCTCAGGTTCTAAAGAGATGTGAGGAGACAAACTTGGTGCTGAATTGGGAGAAGTGCCATTTTATGGTGCAAGAGGGTACTGTTCTTGGGCAGAAGGTATCTGAGGCAGGGATTGAGGTAGATAATTAAGGTCAAAGTGGAGGTTATGGTTAACTTGGAAGCTCCAAATACAGTCAAGGGAATCAGAAGCTTCCTAGGGCATACCAGCTTCTATAGAAGATTCATCAAGGATTTTTCTAAGATAGCTAGGCCATTGACAAGGTTGCTATGCAAGGAAGTTGAGTTTGTGTTTGATGAGGAGTGCATGGAAGCTTTTCTAAAGATCAAGCAGGCGCTTATCAGTGCACCTATAATCCAAGCTCCAGATTGGACTTTGCCTTTTGAGGTAATGACAGATGCATCAGACTATGTTGTGGGAGCTGTTTTGGGACAAAAGAAGAATAAGAAGCTGCATGTCATATACTATGCAAGAAGAACTTTGGATTCAGCTCAAGAAAAGTATGCTACTACTGAAAAGCAGATGCTGGCCATAGTATTTGCCTTTGATAAGTTCAGAAGCTACTTGGTGGGTTCAAAAGTGGTGGTCTACACAGACCATGCAGCTCTTAGGTACTTAATGACAAAGAAGGATGCAAAGCCAAGGCTTTTGAGATGGGTGCTTCTCCTACAAGAGTTTGATATGGAAGTTCAAGACAAGAAGGACATAGAAAATGGAGCAGCTGATCATCTTTCAAGATTAAGAGTGGATTCTGAAGTCCCATTGAATGATTCATTGCCTGAAGAGCAACTAATGTTGATCAAGTCTTATTTCGAGATTGAGCAAGCTAACACATCAGGGAAAGAAACTTGACTTGGTTTGCTGACATAGTGAACTACCTTTCTTGTGGTGTGGAGCCACCAGAGTTGAATACTTACCAAAGAAAGAAGTTCTTCAAATATGTGAAAAGGTACTTCTGGGATGAGCCA